GATAGATAGATAGATAGATAGATAGATAGATAGATAGATAGATAGATAGATAGATAGATAGATAGATAGATAGATAGATAATTGTTCCCTTATGGATTCTTCTATTGCCCCTCACTGTTGGTCTATCCTGCCACATAAGGTATTTTGATATTCTAATCTTCACCTAACCATGCTTTTACCTATGTAGTTTAAATTTTTTCCACACTAGATAACAGAAACACAGATTTAAACAACTTTAAAAGGCTTAATGGCTGAAAATGGCATTAATGACATGCCTAGTTAAAGACTCTGAATCTGCTGACAACTGGATTAAATTTACAAGATAACGAGCACTGGAATCTTAGGATGTTCTGAATTTTAGTAGCATCCTGGCTTCATAGTACAGTAGTTGCCATCCTGTACTCTATACGGCTCTGACTCCACCTGGATGACCTCCTAAAGAGACAGCAGATGGTTTTTTGCAGGATCTCTTCCCACAACAGCATTAAGCCATTGGTGAGCCTCTGGATACTACTGGTATCATTACCTGATACATCACCGTAGAGTCTGAAGTTTCAAAACAGGTCTTCCACTCAGTGGTCACACTGAGCTGTTCATTTGAAAACACTTCTTACTTCACCAGGGGTGACAACTGTACCTCAGAGCTCATAGTGTGGATCCAGATACAAAAATGTCTGGCTAGCTGGGGGTCATTTTATAAAGCTTTTTTTTATTTCAGCAGAAAGAAAGCAGGTAATGAGTAAGCCACTGGGTAGCTGTTCTGCTATTGTCTACTCCATCACTGTCTCACATGAAGCCTGTATATCTGCTTTACACTTACAGAACAAAATAAAATGTTTTCACACACTTCAAGAACAGTCATAACCTCTTTTTCAACAAAGCTTGATGTTAAGTCTGATTAAATATTTCCTTTGTATGGCAAATTAGGATTATTACCTTCATTTCATAAAGTTACTGTATATACTTTTAAATGCTATGCTAATAAAAGTATTTTGAGAAATCATTGCCAAATGAAACCTAACCAACAGATTTAGTCAGTTTTTCGATTCTAGCTTGTTCTTTGATTACAGCTGCTGTTCGGCCCAATTTAAATACTAAAATGTGACATTTTTTTCTTCCACAATTGCCCACAAATGTGTTTAAATCTTTAATTGTCTACTGAATTCAATTCAGATCACATGTCATCTCAAGGCACTTTACAGAGACAATTAAGCCAGATCATACAATCAAAACATTTTAAAGTTTTTTTAAAGAAAACCAAATGATTGCATCGACTCATTGACATGAAGGCCATCTCTCACACCAAACATGCTTGTCGCGGCAGTGGAGAGGAAAAACTTCCTTTTAACAGGAATAAACCTCCAGCAGAATCAGGCTCAGTGAGTGGTCATCTGCCAAGGCCGACTGGGGTTCAAGGAGACAGAAGTAGCGATAGAAAAAGAAGCAAAGATACAAAAGGCAACTGTCAACCAGCTCTACAAGTGGTCCTGTCCAGGACACACACAGCCAGGCAGAAAAGCTCCGAGCCAGCTCCCATGTCAGAGAATGAAAGAGAGCACATCCAGGCAGTCATAGTCAGAGAAATAGGACTACACCGAAAAACAGCGCAAGCTTCAACATCTATCAACAAAGGTGTTGATGGCAGCCTCACTGCTGATATTTCTCTCCAGGAACAGACCAGATGAAGCTACTATGAGAAAAAGCAGAGAGAGCATAATGCTTGAGATTGAACTAATGCATTCTGCAGAGTGGGTGAATAGAGATAGAATGAAGCTCGGGATAACCTGAGCCCCTCTAACTATAAGCCTTATCACAATGTAGACACTTTAGGCCTCACAGACTAAAACTACTAGTTGGTTTCAAAGATCTGTCTCTCATTCTACTTTTAAAAAGTCTAGTAACCGCTAGTAAGCCTACTGATTGATAGAAATGTACTATTTTAGGAACATAGGGAACAATCATATATTTAATATAAGATGGAGCTTGGCCATTTAAGTGAGAAGGAGGTTTTCAAATTATATTCTGGATTTAACAGAAAGCCGATGAAGAGAAGCCAGGATAGGAGAGATATGATCTCTCTTTTTAATTTTTATCAGAACTCTTGCTGCAGCATTTTGGATCAGTTGAAGGCTTTTAACTACAGTTTGTGGACTTCCTGATAGTATCTACTGTAGGTAGCTAGGTCACAATAGTACAGCCTTGAAGTATCAAATGCATGAACTAGTTTCTGGACAGGATTTTTCTATTTTTTGCAACATTTCGCAGTTGAAAGAAGGAAATTCTAGAAACCTCTTTAATATCGGATTTAAATGACAGGTCCTGATCAAAAATAACTTAATTTCATTTACTTTATTATAAATGTAATCTATAATAATTTACTTTATTATTTGAGATCAATTTAAGCCAATCAAAAATTAAGTGACTGACTAATCAGCTTCTTTTTCAAAGACTCTGGTCCAA